AGGGAGTGAAAAGTACTAACCTGATGAATCAGTGAAAGTCATATGTCAGATGTAGTTAACAAGGGGTAAAGCTTCAACAATCAGACGAGCCCAATTTTATGTCACACAGCGACCAAAGAATGTCCCTTCAATCAAATGGCCGCGGCTCGCAATCACGATCATCTGCAAGTAATGTCCGCAGGTGCAAGTGTGCGCTTGGATCAAATTAATTCCACAATTAGGATTTACTTGTGAATGATTACACGTTATTTAGCTCCTTTTTTTATAATCCAAGGTCTTTTCCTAATTGGAGTGAGTTTTAAAGGGAATGTACAACATTTGCTTTTGCTGCGATTTTCAGAAATAAATGGATTTGGAGGGTTAGTATGTTATATTGTTAAAATGACTTGTTTCATGTTTTGGGCTTGTAGATGCTGGAAAAACCAAGAAAACCTATCATGTTCTTGTAGTCTGGTTCCCTGACCCCACTTAAGATGAAACGAAGCAATTAATACACTTTGGGAAATTGTAAGGTCAGAGAATCAGTCTAGCAGGCTTGTACCCCTTCACAGGTGTGTGATCAATTGCAAAGAAAAGTCAGAATAACTAAATATGAAAAATTAAGAACAGTTCTTGAAAAAAAGCCAGTTTTCTCCAACGCTGGTCGGCCGACCAGCGTTGGAAAAATACAGTTTTTCTTGAAAATGTCAGCCCACCAGGAGCCACGATTTTAAAGGATGCTTTAGACTGTCAGTCCCTAACAATCCAGTAAGGTATTTCGTGATAATTTGATCATTTCGTTTTTTGATGTTTGCAAATGTTGTATTTTCCCTTTAACAGTAGATTCCCCAAGACATTTTTTTTTTTTGGTCAGACAACAAAAATCACTTTAAAATGAAAATGTTTTTCCTGCCGAAATGGTCGTTTAATGGCCTTCCAGTTAATGTGCGTCCTGGCCATCTTTGCAAGCACTTAGTCATTCATCATTGAACAATAAGAAATAAGCGTTTGATCGCGGAATCTCTTCGCTCTGATCAGATGCTAAGAAAAATATTTTCTCCTCTCTGAGTCGCTTGCACGGGAGATGAATAATATATGAAATGTTTATTTTATGAGGAGTCTCGAAAGGGCGGCCATTGCACGACAATGCAAATTGTCATGTCGGTATGTTCTTTACTGTGGTCTATTACAGCTGCATCGGAAATTCTGTATCCGATATTTTTAAATTTTTAAAGGCTTTTTGCAAACTGCGTACAAAGTACTATTTAATGGCAGTTTTGGTCGTAACATGTAGTTCATATACAATATATTTTATGTGTATTAAAACCCTCGCATGCAAATGTATACATTCTGTGCAAAGTTGTCCTTTCAGTCAAAATCAATCAAGTGACTGTTTTTAAGAGTTAAGAATTCCCAGCCCTAATAAAGCAGGATTGACTGGCTGTGACTGTTTATGTAACTTGATGCAGCTTTGCTTTGACTGTACAATGTAGGTGATTGATAAGCCAGCTGTGCCTACTTCTTTTCTGCTTTTGTCTGTTGATGGAATTTGACCAGTCACAGTGCTTGCTTGAAATATGAAGAGGATTGATTTTTTTTTGACTGTCTGTGATTGTTCAGACAGCAGGAGGGTTAAGTACTGACTTAACCTGCTACTGTTTGAACAGTCACAGACAGGCAAAACATTCCATCCTCTTTCCCTGCCATGCCTTTTACACAGGCTAGTCACCAACAGTCAGATCATATTTCAAGCAAGCACAGAATGAAGTCAAATTCAGTCATACAAAAGCAGGCAAGTGGTAGGCACAGCTGGCTTATCAATCACCTACATGTACAGTCAAAGCATAGCTGTATCAAGTATAAACAGTCGCAGCCAGTCAATCCTGCTCTATGAAGGCAGGGAGCACTCAACTGTTCAAAACAGTCACTTGGTTTTGTATTTTGACTGTTTTGTTGAATTTGACAGCCAGAGATGGTGGGGTTGGTAGACTTGTTTATTTGACAGTTACTGGACCATTTTGTGTGTGTGTGTAATATAAATTGAAATTAAATGCTAAACTGTCATACATTTTGGAATTGAGTGTAATTTTTCAATATGTGAACATGTACTTGAGATGTACATGTGTAGATTTTTACATGTACCGGTACATGTACGAACATGCTGTAAATAATAAGTTCATTTTGAAACACCATATTCTGCTTCTGAAAAATCACTACAAATTTGCAAAACGTTGAACAGAGGCCTCCATGTTGAACTTTGGTAAATTTCAGTGCAAATGCTTCTCTGTAGATAGAAAACTTCCCCATAAAACAGTGCCCCTTGGCTATGCAGTGCATACATTATAAATAAATGTTCATTTCTTTTGGACACTCTAAGCTTTGAACAAAACAATTTTCATGTAAATGCGGGACTCAGCAAAGTTCATTAATTAAACACAGCCACTTTTCCAACTCCCAAATGAGCAGATGGCGATACTTCACACCAAGTCCTGTGATCAGCAGAATAATTACCCCGGCACTTCAATATTTGAATACCCGAACGGAAAGGGTTGAGGGGGGACCTTAGCTGTCTGACAATGCAGACGTGCCGTACCGTCCCGCGTTGCGTGCTTGCGTGCATGATCGCTACAACGCAATCGCTGCAGCATCACCTGGTGAATATTGATAGTGTCGTCAAGCGAGAAAGACGTAGACAACCACATTATGCCTGATAGTATGATAAGAATAGGCTTGAGGTTTGGGGAATAAAATAAAATAAAATAAATTTGGGGTATTTTTATCCAAAATCCAGTATTTATAGTAGTAGAAAAAATGATAATAATGCATCGATCTGCATAATTACAAGAAATTATCGCGAATTTTGGAAAGAATGATGCAACCTGACGCTACTTTGGCGGTTGTGTACAAAGTCTATGGAGAGTTAAGACATTTTTCTAAGTATCTCCAACCAAAATGGGAAATATTTTTCAGTCCCAGATTCATGTCTTATCATTTTTGCAATGACTGACCTTCATTGAGATGACATATAAAGAAAAAAAAGCAGCGTCAGGTTGCAATATTCTTTCCCAAATTTTATATAATGTAAATTTTGAACATGTTCATTTAATAAACTCCATTTATACATGTGCATGTATAAAAGAATGGTCATCAACATTTGTTGAAGTTTCTAAATGCACGCATACTTAAAAAAAAATCAGTGTACATTTCCGTTGATTTCTGTAATGTGTCTTCATCGATTTCTGAAATGCATCTTCAATTTTTTTTTATCACTTTTTTCAAAGTGATGCTTTTATCACTAGCCTCGTGTCGCAAATTGAATTTCCGAATCGCTCCCAATTTTCTCACCATTGAAGGGAAATTGTTACAGTGCACACAAATTTTGTGCCTTCCCGACCTGGCCTGAGAGAATTGCATTTATGCTAACTCCCAATTTGGTGAAATGCGGGGCAACGGAACGAGGTCTCGCTCCGGATGCATTTAGTAGCCGGCCACGGCAACTTGGCTTTTAACGCCGGCGTTCATTTCTAGGTCAACTGTGCTCGCAGCTAGCATTCGTTTAGGCTTTGCAGAAGTGTGCAGCGTGTTATGTTTCATGTGCTTCCCCGGCCCCCTGCAGCGACCACAGGCTAAATTTGTTTCGACGAGTTGAGAAACGATACTGAGGTAAAAACCTGAAATGTCCAGGACTTTGGAAAGTTAGAAAAAAAAGGTCCTTCATTTTATAGAGGATATTTTGTGGCCTCTCGTTGAAGGCACAATCGAATGAGCCAGCAATTGGATATCAGTGGCACTGCCTCAATGTGATTTTGACAGTAGTTGTTGGGGGATTTTGCAGGATTGAGGCAATGGTCACCCCTCCACTGAACAAATTCAAGAAGCTAGAAAGCACTCAGAAAGCGCAATTAAACCTCCACCAAGGCTAAACAATTTCCTGTCATATTGTCAGTACACCCAAAAGAAATACTCGCATAAATGGCGAAGAATCCTTTAAAACATCCTGGATCCAGACCCATATCCAGATCACAAGTTCCAAAATCTTATCGATTTTGTACTTAGTACCAAGGACCACCCCTTAATTATTTTTTTTTATGCAAATCCGTCCATAACCTTCTTGTTAACAGACAAACCGACTAACCTACCATACCAAGCAACAAACTACCCAAATTCGATGAAAACATAACTTCCTTGGCGGAGGTAAAAACGGAAGATCTTGTAGGATTGAGGCTGTATCCAATTTTCACATGGAGGCAGTTGGAGGATTTTGAAGGATTGGGGACGCATCCTCGCAAAAAAGGCCCAGGGGATTAGGGTAAGGCCGTCCTCACACGTCAACGAGTTCCTCTGCAATTGAGGAGATGAATTTTCATCCCTCAATGATCAGAAATCCTGTCGGATATTTTGCGGAAACCAAAATTAAATCACCGTATCCTTGTCCAGAAGGCATATTACGCATGAATTCATGGATTGTACACATTCAAGTATACGTGACGGTACCTTAGTTGAGTGTTTCAGTTTACATTTCCAACTGTCCTACGGTATGTGGGTGTTAGGGTGTAAACAAAACAACGTACAGTACATGTACATGTTTTGATGAGTTAAAGACATTTCTAAGGATCACCATTTTCACATGCAGTAAACAATGTGCGTGCATGCGTGTGCTTCAGATTGAATCGTCTGATCCTTTACACCCACTCATCCACTGATCGCGTCCAAAATTAAATTGTGAATTTCTCCCATTTTTCTTGTTTTGCTCCCCTGCGCAACTTAAATTATCTCCTCGTCCCGCGCTGGTTTTTAATATACGCTTTCCTCATCGTCCAAGGACACTCAGTTGTTCATTAGTTTGACAAGAAACCACTTTAAGATATGGAGACGGACATGGAGGGACACCTTTATCGTTGGGGGGGGGGGGGAGTTTCCTCTTCACACGCTCTCCTACAGGGCTGTAATTTCCTCGACTCCTCATGACTACAGCCTCTTATTTTTCTCTTTCTCTTCGTTCCCGCTCAATTTCATCTCAGCTAGGGCAAGGTTACGGCCAGGTGGAAGGACGGAGTTTGAAAGCGAGTGCGAAGTTTTATCTGACATGCGAGGTTGAAGTCGTCTCCCAGTCGTCAGGCAACGGGGCCGGTCACAGGCCTAACGCTCAGCTGATCTATCACTTACTCTGAATCACCAGGGAATCTAAAACCTCATCATTTCAAAGATGTCGTTTGTCCGCCAGCGTTGAGCCACTCATAATCCTTTTGGAATGGCGCGGGATCCTTCACATCCTGACTGGCCGATTCCGACTATGGCGGATCCGTTGGTCAAACCCTCGCTGAAACCCAAACCGGCGTTCGTCCAAGCGGCAAGTCCCTCCCACGGGGGCGGGGCTTATGAAATGGAGGATGATATGGGCGAGCCGGTGTACAGCCCAATGCCCATTGATGCCAGTTCAAAGGTAAGCGTCTGGAATTTCTTTGTTTTTACATGAATGTACATGTACTCAAATCATCAGCGTTTTCACGATGGGACGAATTAGGCCAAAAAAACATATTTCTTCCAAATTCTTTTTCTGGCCGGAATCGGTTAAGTGAACAGCAAGGAATATTTTGGCGAAGTGTTTTTGTCAAAATCAGTTTAAATCAACAAAATCATGACAATCCACGTCGGGAAATTTCACCTGAATCGTATTTCGAGTTTCCACAAAGAGACAAATGCAAACTCTATCACATTCTATGGGGCAAAAACAACGCGCATGTGGAATTTAAGTTTTCACGAAGAGACGGATTGAGTGTGCGCGAAGGGCAAAACAACGCGCGTGTGGGATTTTAAGTTTTCACGAAGAGAGGAATTTGGGCAAAGGGTATGGGCAATTTGCCCAAAAAACAGGCGTGTGGGATTTTGAGTTTTCACGAACAGACAAATCTCTATGGAGATGAATTACTCTGCAATTAATTGATCTATTATACTGTAATTGTTACATCTTGTTTAAGATCTCAGCTTGCTATCTGTATCAAAAATTTGTTGACTCCAAATATAGGCGAAATCTTTATTTCAAAAAGTGACCAACTTAAAACTGGCTTTTCTCAAAATCACTGTTCAACACCCCCTGGCCCAATTCATCCCTTCGTGAAAAGGCTGACGAAATGTTCTGTCCATTTTTGCTGGAAGACATTAACAAAAAATGTAAGGAACATGTTTTTGGGATTTTTTTTTTGTAGAAAATTGTATGCTTCTATTCATATTTTTTTTTCATGGTCCAAAAATGTTGCTGTATTGTAAAGAACTTGTTGAGGCCTTTGGAAAAGAATAAGAAATTCTATTGAAATGTGAGTAGGGGCCTACATGTAGGGCCTACTTCAATTTGTAACAATTCTTAAATAGAAAATAAGTGCTCACTGAAAATACTAATATAGAACAAAATATATTTGGGGGGGGGGCTGTTGAAAATGTACAGTAAGTACGTTGTAGAACTTCGCATATTGCATATTCCAACCAAAAAATAGCTTCAGTATGCGCAATTTTATTTTCCCAGCCCGTCGGCGGCCTTGTCCCTATGGTCACATTAATGAGATTTGTGCGAAATCAATCCGACGATGTGTGGATCATGTATCGCTCGGGATACCGGCTATTGATTACACAAATCCATTAGCGGTAGATAGGCAACCGGGGAAAACGGTTTCTCACATGTGGAGGTATTCCCACACATGTGTTCCATTCTTTCGTGTACATGTACATACCGGTACACTTGATCTTACAAAATGAGTCTTAAAGGCGTATTTCACACTTAGTTTGTCATGTGTAGAAGAACGGGATTCTCTAGTCCTCAGTTTGATGTGTAGTATGTCACTCAAATTTGCATCTTAAACCCTACTGCAGTCTGAACAGTCACAGACAGTCAAAAAAATCAATCCTCTTCCCTGCCATGCCTTTTACACAGGTAAGTCACCAACAGTCAGATCATATTACAAATACAAGCAAGCACTGTGACTAGTCAAATTCAGTCAACAGACAAAAGCAGACAAGTGGTAGGCACAGCTGGCTTATCAATCACCAACAGTCAAAGCATAGCTGTATCAAGTTACATAAACAGTCACAGCCAGTCAATCCTGCAGTATGCAGGCTGGGAATTTTTAACTTTTAAAAACAGTCACTTGATTGATTTTGACTGAGAAGACAACTTGGCATAGAATGTATGTTTGCATACTGAGGGTTAGATGCACCCCACGCTACATGTATTTCAAATTTAACCCCGTATTAAAGGGAATATACATCATTTGCTTTTGCTGTAATTTTTAGAAATGGATGGAATTGGGGGGTTGGAAATATAAAGCAAATATAGTTACACTGACTTTTTGGAGGTTTTGGGTTCGAAAATTCTATAAAAACCAAGAAAAACGATCATTTTCCTGTAGTCTGGTTCCCTGACTCCATATAAGAAGAAACAGAGCAGTTTACATACATTGGGGAATTGTAAGGTCAGGGAACCAGTCTAGCTGGCTCGTACCCGTTCATAGGTTTGTAATCGATTGCAAACAAGTGCAATGGTCAATTGGGGCCAGTATTTGAAAAAAAAAGCCAGTTGTTTCCAACGCTGATCGGCCGATCAGCGTTGGAAATTGATACAAAAATACCACTTTTCTTGAAAATGACAGTATACCAGGTGCCATAATTTTACAGGATGCTTTAGACTGTCATTTACCAACATCCTGTTAAGGTATTTCGCAAAAACTTGGTAGTTTTATTTTTCGATGTTTGCAAATGTTGTATATTCCCTTTAATTAATAAGAGTTGTTTTTTCAATTGCTATTTTCCTAGCAGTAAAAAAAGGTATACATGCACTTTTGAATAACACATCGAATAAAAATATTCAACCAACGTTTAGTTCTTGAATTATTTTGTTTACAACATTCAAATTCTTTGCGGCCTGACAATGTATGTAGGTAATTAAGTTAACTGTTACTTTTGACTTCCCTACAATGCAAGATTAATTATTCATAAATACCTCAGACAGTTTAGCCATTCCTATTGGTCGAGAGCCCGTCACGTGGCCGGTCTTAAACGGATGATAAAGACATGGCTAGCTGGTCTTAAACACTTTTCCAGTGTCGCAATAAAATGTAGACCCCTAAAAATCCAGTGCCTCTTACCGTTTCATTGGTTGAACGTTCACAATCCTCACGTAGGCATGCGCAACACTACCAGCGAGTCAGAATTTTATAGTTCTAAATTCAAAACGCAACGCGCCAGGTGCGTTCTGCGCGACATCGCTCAGAACATGCCACGCGCGCGTCAATCTCCATAAAAGGGCTGTTTACATCTTACTCGCCAGCTGAACACTCCATTATTTTGCTAGAGGGATGTTTCAAAAAGCATGAAGTGAACTTGTTGAACAAATCGGTATTTTTTGAACGAATTATTTGACATTTGTTACCAAAAAGGTATTTATGAATGGGAATAAATATGTGCTCAGTCGGTATTTATCACTCTGTTTAAGACCACTTAGAGTCTGGGTGCTGATAATTACCCTCGCCTCCGGCTCGGGTAATTATCAGCACCCAGACTCTAAGTGGTCTTAAACAGAGTGATAAAAACCTCCAGAGCACACATTTATTCCCTTAGTAAAAAGCTCATTAGGTTTTTTCCCTCCATAGTAAAAGCATGTGTTTATAGCTCCATGGTAAAAGCAACTCTGGCGACATTTGCCTCATTTTGTTAGATTGGGTCTTGTGGTTTTTCTTGGGCCCAGCTGGATGGCATACAGCTTTTTATGCTCTTGGAGATAAAAATCACGTAAAAGCTCTCAAATTTCCACTAATTTCTGGCAGTCCATAGGGACTGGAGACTGAGACAGCATGTAATGCAAGAATTTATTAGTTTACCAGGGAAAGAAGGGGGGGTGAGGGGTGGGGATGGAGGAACAGGAGCTTTGCACATCAATTTTGCTTTTGAGTGGATTCTACTAGAATGGAAACACAGGTTATCTGACTTAAAGCCGCGGAAGAACATTTGCAATTACCTGAAAAAAATTACCTGACAAATTTTAGAACAGAAACCTTGCTCAAAAGTGAAGACAGGACTGGTGTCAAATACCCTGTGAAAATATTCTGTCTAAAACTGGTATCATTTGGAAGAAAATTAACATTGAAGGTGGTTTCAAAATAAGTGCCCTTTGGCCAAAAAAAAAAGTCTCCGGTTTCTGGTATGGAGCTTGCCCCAAAAGTGGTGCGGCGACGCGGCTTTTTTTTTTTTTTACCTGTTTTTTTTTTTTTTTTTTTGGCTTCAAATGTCGGCTGATGACTGCAAATGGTGCCCGACTAAACTTAGTGCAAATATATGGGAGTCCAGAGAGGCCACATAAAGCTTATTCTCGATCATAACCCCATCTAAAAACACGTTAAAATTGTGCAGCAGCAGAATTCCAGTCAAACCAGTGAGTTTGGCGGTTTTGAGACATCATCTTTTATTGAAAAAAAAACTTTTTCATTTTGCCGACGCGCATGGCTACGGCGACGCGCGCGCATACCAGAAACCGGAGACTTTTTTTTTTTGGCCTTAAGTACCCTTTTTTTTTTTTACATGAAACACACATGAAGTTACAAGACCCCTGAAAATTGTGGTCACATCTGCACATTATCTCTGTTTTCTCACATACATACGTGTACATGTACCACAGGGTTTTGCACCCTGAAGTTACTTAAGATTTTGAGCAATTTTGTTGCTTCAAACAAAATGCACAAAAAGGGCAAATTATCCATGTACCTACTGCACCTTTAAAGGGAATGTACATCATTGGCTTTTGCTGTAATTTTCAGAAATGAACTATTTGGGGGGTTAGTATAATAGATCAAATATTGTTGCACTGACATGTTTGACGTTTTTTTGTTCGAAAATGCTGGAAAAACCAAGAAAAACAAAAATATTCAAGTAGTCTGGTTCCCTGACTCCACTAAAGATGAAACGGATCAAAAATACCGGAAAATTTTAAGGTAAGGGAATCAGTCTAGCTGGCCTGCACCCGTTCATGAACATGGAACCAATAGCTAGCAAAACAAAATTTAGACTAAAGAAAAATGGTAAATGTGGAGCAGTAATTGAAAAATAGTTAGGTTTTTCCAACGCTGGTCGGCCGACCAGCGTTGGAAATGTATACAAATATACCATTTTCTTGAAAATGGCTTCACACCAGGTGCCATAATTTTACAGGATGCTTTAGCATGTCATTTACCAACATCCTAGTAAGGTATTTCGTAACAACTTGGTAGTTTTATTTTTCGATGTTTGCAAATGTTGTATATTCCCTTTAACACAGTCTGTACAACAGTAGTGGCACATGGTACATGTAGTTACATTGTCATGTATTACATTGTGCATACATGTACACTGTATTACATTGTATTACATTTTGTATTACATTGTATTACATTGTACTTATTCCCTAGAGTGTTGCAGTTTCAG